CACTCCAGTCTGGGTGACAGAGGGAGACTCCAACTCAAAAAAAAAAAAGATGGGATCTCACTATGTTGCCCGGGTTAGTCTCAAACACCTGGACTCAAGTGATCCTCCTACTTCGGCCTCCCAAAATGCCGGGATTACAGGCGTGTGCCACCACAGTGAAGAATTCTGATGAGGAAAATGAGGTAGGTGTGCCAGTGCTGATGGGCAGCCAGCCACAGGCCTCACAGGAAGCCCCACAGGCCCAGCCCACAGCCAACCCCTCTAATCCATCAACAACAGCTTTCTTTGTCCACGTGGACTTGGTGTCCCACACTGACTTCTCTGCTACTCCACCTGACTGGTCTGCCCACCATGCAGGAAGAAGTCACCCTGCCCAGAGAAAGGTCTGGCCCTTGCCCAGCTCATGGGAGGTCACCTCTGAGTCCTGGCAATGTTCTGCCTGATAAATGTGTCTTGGTCTGCCTGGGGCCCCAGGCCATGCCATGCAGTCTGGTTTGTGTCAGGGCCTTGGGCCATCAGCTCGACCTCTGGAGGGGCTGGAAGCTAAGGACAGCCACATGGCAGTCAGTTAAGCCTATGTGACTGACCCCCTGGACACCTCTCAGAGGCTCCTATGGAGAGGGGAAAAAAAGACCCTGGACACCAAGGCTCCAGTGAACGTCCCTGGCTGGTAAAACGTGATGTATCCTGTCACACACGGCTGGGAAAATTTAGCGCTGTCCATGCCACTCCCTGGGAGGGGACAGTGGGACGTCCCACTGGGTCTCTCCTAGACTGTGCCCCAGACCCCCCTTCCCTTGGTCGATTTTTTTTTTTTTTTTTTTAGTTGGAGTCTCTGTCGCCCAGACTGGAGTGCAGTGGCCGCTTCCGGCCACCGCAGCCTCGACCTGCCGGGCTCCGGCAATCCTTCCACCTCAGCCTTCCAAGTAGCTGGAACTACAGGCGCGTGCTACCACGCCCGGCTCATTTTTTGATTTATTGTAGAGATGAGGTCTCGCCAAGTTGCCCAGGCGGGTCTCGAACCCACGGGCTCAGGCCCTTGGCCGATTCTTATCCGTGTCCTTTCACTGTAATGAACTGTCACTGTGAGTGTAACAGCCCCGCCAAGTTCCAGGTCCCTCTAGTGAGCTGCTGGACCTGAGCTTGGTCTTGGGACACAGAAACTACACCCACCAAACACGTACATGAGAATCACCCTTCCCAGTCTACAGGTTACTTCCCCTCTCTCCTTTTATTTCCCAAGTCAGGGTCTCACTCTATCACCCAAGCTGGAATGCAGTGGCACAATCACAGCTCACTGCAGCCTTTACCACCTGGACTCAGGCGATCCTTCCACCTCAGCCTCCCAAGCAGCTGGGATTATAGGCGCATGCCACCATGCCCGGTTAGTTTTTTTGATTTTTCAAAGTAAAGACAAGGTCTCACTATGTTGCCCAGGTTGGTCGCAAACTCCTGGGCTCATGCAATTCTCCTGCCTCAGCCTCACAAAGTGCTGGGATTACAGGCATGAACTACCGCGCCTGGCCCCTTTTTTCTTTTTTACCTTGGAGAGATTCACTTCATTCCAGCGCAGCACATGAAACAAGATATTATTTGTAATTTATTTTCTAAAAAAATGTTTTTTGTAGAAACAGGGGTCTCAGTCGGGCTCAGTGACTCAGCCTGTAATCTCGCACCTTGGGAGGCTGAGGTGAGTGGATTGCCTGAGCCCACGCGTTCGAGACTCACCTGGGCAACTTGGTGAGACCTCATCTCTACAATAAATAATAAAAAAAAAAAAATTAGCCGGGTGTGGTAGCACGCGCCTGTAGTTCCAGCTACTTGGAAGGCTGAGGCAGAAGGATTGCCGGAGCCCCAGCAGGTCAAGGCTGCGGTGGTCGGGAGCAGGCACTGCACTCTAGTCTGGGCGACAGAGTGAGACTCCAACTCAAAAAAAAAAAAACCAAAAAAACGGGGGTCTCATTATAATGCCCAGGCTGGCCTCAGGTCATCCTCCCATCTCAGCCTCCCAAAGTGCTGGAATGACAAGTGTGAGCCACCATGTCCGGCCTTATATGTCATTTCTAAACTGTACTACTTCAAACTGGCATGTCCCAATTCACATTGAACGTGACCTCAATTTGCTCTGGTGAAGAATTCTAGGAAATGGAACTTGAATTTAAAGCATTTGAAACTAGTTTACCGGCACAAGCCCGCTGGGGGCGCGTCCGTGGGTCGGGGACACCTTGTTCTAGACCACCATGGAGAGGGAGCTGCTACCCAAGCTCAGAGGGAAGTGGAAGGGATTCTGGGCTCCGGCTCTGGCGGGGAGAGGGGCTGGCACCAGGTCTGGGGCAGGCTGGGCTTGGAGCTCATCTGGGGCTTGGAAACAGGAAAGCCAGACTCAGGGGGCCCAGAACGATGCTCCGTTCCCAAGGGCGACACGGAAGCTGCTTCTCGCTCGAACGCGCTGGGGTGGAAAGCGGGAGCTGGCGCTGCAGGGTGGGCTCCTGCTTCCCGTGCCAGGAGGGAGATGGCCCAGGGCTCACGGGCCTGGACTTGATTCTAGATGATGTGGGAATGGAACCAGCTCTTGGCAGCTCTGAGGTGATGGGGCTAGAGTGAGCATTTGTCTCTTGAGCATTCGTGACTCCGGTCAGTTCGGAAGTGGGTGTCTCAAGCTGGGTCAGCTATGCAGGGTTCCAAGGGAGTTCCCATCACCATCTCAGGTGCCCCCTGCACTCCTCTGACCCCATCACCACCGCTGGTGTCCCCTGCACCACCCTGGGTCTAACTTCCATCCCTCTTGCTCTGGGGACACGCCTGGCGTGTCTCTGGGCCTCAGACTCTCCATCCTGGGCTGGGAAGTTGGAGCACAGCGTAGGGGAAGAGCCAAAAGGTGGCCCTGCCTCAGTGGGCCCCTCTCACCTCTGCCTTCAGGGCATATCAGCCCCGAGCCAAGGCGGCTTTGATGGCGGCCACCAGCTTCAGAAACTTGCTGTCTGTGTCTACGTAGCCATCACCTGCCTGGGGAGGGGAGAAACAGGGCCGGGGTGAGGTGGGAAGAGACTCCAGGCTCAGTGCCACCCCCACGCCAGTCCAGAACCCAGGCAGATGGACAGACAGACGCACCTTCTTGGAGTGGACCAACTTCCCCTCGACCATCACTTCAAAGAAGCCGGTGGCCTGGGGAGTCCCCTCGCCACACTAAGGAGAGGAGAGGAGAGAGGCTGAAGGGGCTGCACGGCCCCCTGGGGACACCCCCTCCTCAGGGCACGAGTGAAGGGGGGGCTGCCCTAACCTCCCCCACCCAGCGCCCCAGGTCTGAGGGGCGGACAAGGCCCCATGTCCAGCCTCTCCCCATCCCGAGACTCACGATGTCCAGGCAACCAGGGAACTCATCTTCCAGCTTCTTCTTGAGGTGAAGATACTGAAAGCAGGTAGGGGGTCACCACAGGGGTCTCCCCACGAGCCCTCCCCCCAACCTCCACCCCTGGGACCCCACCCCTCCCCCTACTTCTGCCTCCTGGTTGCCAATCGCTCACCTTGGACTTGTAGCCTCAAGCACCACTGGTGGGAAGGCATCCGTAACCATGGGGGGAGGAGATCCAGGAGAGGATGGTGGGGGTTGGAATAAAGGACACAGGTTTTGACAAAGTAGAGGAAGCGACACACGGAGAGTGTTGTGTAACACCAGGGGTATGGGGGACACGGGGACACAGAGATACACAGACAAAACCGACCCCATCAAGAGAGATGGTGGGGTAGGGGAGGTACAAGGAGACCACGGAGACGGCAACAGGGAGGGAAACCAAGAGAAGCGGGTTAGGGTAAGAACGACACAAATAGCAACCCCACACACCTCCTCTCCCATGGCTCCACCTACCCCCCCACCCACCCATGGCCCTGGAACGTCTCAGGAAAACTAGCTCCTGGGTGCTCAACGCCTTCCCAGTCCTGAGGATGAAACACAAGCTACCTCAGCCCCCACGGCAGACTATTTCGGGACTGGAATCTGGCGCACAGGCCTGGTAGGTGCCTCAAAATGTCACTCCTGCCTCTGCTCTGTGGAGCAGACATGGATATTTATTTATTTATGTATTTATTTGTTTTCTGAGTCAGGCTCTCACTCTGTCGCCCTGGTTGGAGCACAGTGGCACGATCATTGCTACCACAGCCTCGACCTCCTGGGCTCAGGCGATCCTCCCACCTCAGCCTCCCACAGTGTTGGGATTACAGGCGTGAGCCACCGCCAGGCACTGGCAGATCAGAACCCAGGTGGCCACCACACAGAGAGTACAACCGGCAGTCCCAGGGTCATGGGACGCCCGTCACCTGCAGACTGAACCCCAAGCTACCAACCTACCCCTACTTGGTTCCCAGCCTCAGTTTCCTCACCGGTAAGATGGAGCTAAACTTCCCCTTCCTCAAGAGATTTCTGGGAGAATAAATTCATTTGAACATGTATTTATTAAGCACCTACTGCATGCCAGCAAGTATTAGGTGCTACTGGAGGGCCGTAGCACAATCCCGGCCACCACAGCCTTGAACTGCCGGGCTCCAGCGATCCTTCTGCCTCAGCCTTCCAAGTAGCCAGAACTACAGGCACACGCTACCATGCCCGACTAATTTTTTTGATTTATTGTGGAGACAAGGTCTCGCCAAGTTGCCCGGGTGGGCTTCCAACCCGCGGGCTCAGGCAATCCTGTCGCCTGGGCCTCCCAAAGTGCTGGGATGACAGGCTGAGCCACGGAGTCCGGCAGGAGAGAATATTAAAAAAAAAAAAAAGGGAGAAAAATCTTCTGCCTTCCTAAGAGTATCCCTCTAGTGGGAGAATTAAATCAAACGTGTTTAGTGTCGACTCACAGCACTCCATCCGAGATCATTATTAAGGTCGTCCGCCCTCTCACTACAGATGAGGAAAAGGGGTGAGGCTGACGACCAAGGGAACCCACTGTGCAGGGGCCCAGGATGGATTTCTCCAGATGCTTTCGAAACATGGGTATGCTCGAACCTTCTCGACTCCCCCCGACCCCACCCCGTGACTGTTCGGGAAGTTGGGGGGAAGGGAAACCCAAGGGTGGACGGAGCCGTAGGTCCCATTACAAGGCTGACACCCTCCCCCACCCCCAACCG